CTTCTGAAACTTTTCACTTTTCGCACTCAATATCCCTATCCACTTAAATTTTCGAGATCAGAAGTATGATATTTGTAATGTAGACTTGATGACCTTTCATTTGCTGTGCGACAACACCATCTTCTACAAAGTTTGATTTTTGATTTTTTTGCACTTTTAATAACCACTTCCAACTCATTTTTGGAGGACTGGAATTTGATATTTGAAATGAACACATTATGACCTTTCATTTGATATACGACAACCTTACCCTAGAAAAAAAAATATTTTTGCTCTCAATGACTCCACCCAACCTATTTTTCGGTGACGTCAATTTGATATTTGAAATGTACGCTTTATGGAGTTTCATTTGATATGCGCCAACCTAACCATCTGAGAAGTTTAAATTTTTTTGCACTAAATGACCCCATCCTTCCCACTGGGAATGACCTCGTTTTGCAAACTGCCAAAAATGATGCAATATCAATTGTATAAATAGAATTTATGAAACTTAAGTCAATGTAAAACGTTTTCTTTGAATGATTTTGGTAATTATTCAAACATATAACCATGTTAAACTGTTCAATTTCTGAAAATTTCAGGTGGTAAGCTGTTGTTGATTCAGAAATACATGCCTCCGCTCGCAAAATTTCAGACTACATTATCTCTAAAACATCAACAGATATCTCAAATCTGCTAAGTGAAAAATGATCTGCAGTTGAAGTACAACATTGTGAAAAAGAATTGGGACAATTCCAAAGTTCATCAAGGTCACAATGAATAATGAAATATCTATGATGCAATACCAAACTTGAGAACCGGAAGTCGTAGAGACATGGGACTACCACCATTCTACTCAGGACCACTTGATCTTTCAAATGTCACAAGGTCAAGGTCATAGTAATATTTGAAGATCAAGGTATAATTTCATCATGACCTTGATATTGACCACAAATTAAAGGTATTGAAATACTGATTAATTTTGCGTTATAGAAGGTTGATATCTGTTACCTTTTCAAATATAAACACAAAATACTATACTTTTAAGAATTATCTCTTCGTTACTTTTGAACGGATGGTCAGAAAGTTTTTAGATTAATGTATAAACGTAGAGCTCATCGAGAGAAACATTTTATACACTAAATGTATGTAGCAATCTCTTATCGTTTTCTTAATATGTGAGCTTGAAATGAAAATTTTAAACCGATTAATTTGCGTTTTTCTGCAATTATTATGAGTCTTATGTAGGCGAATCGCGTCTGGCGTACCAAATTATAAGCCTGGTATCTTTGATGAAGTTTTATAACCAATGGGTCGATGCCACTGCTAGTGGACGTTTTGTCTCCTAAGGTATCACCAGCATAGTAGTCAACGCTTTTGTGCTGACATGAATATATTTGATATGTTCATTATCTGTTAATCCACTGTTTATTAAAAGTTGAAGTATTCAGAACACTAAGGTTTTTCTTCACAGGTATAGATTGCCTTAGTCGTATTTGACCATTCAAAATATTATTATTATCTCCAATGTCATGTCAACACAGATGTAGTTCCAAACATAATAATATTTCGATCATTCGCCGTGAGAAAGTTATTAGACGATTTCTTACGAAAGAAAAGTTACAAAATATATTTTACCTTAATGCCAATTTACCTACAAGTTTGATGTCTATCACTCAAATACAACCGAAGATCCAGGATAGGTATGTTTACATGGTAAATAGGCTCAACGATTACATAAAGGAAAAGTGATCTTTTATTACTGTTTTAACATATTCGTAGTGACGTTACGCACCTTATTGCGTCAATACCGTGAAATCAACCAGTCCACACTAATAAACAGCTTTTCTATAAAATCAAAACAGTTAAGCTATATAAAATTTATATCAATAGACTAGACAGGTAATTACTATTCCGAAAAAATCAAAACATAGTTTTATCATATTTTACAAAAGTCTAAAACGAGGACAAACATATTGACAAAACGTCAAAAACATGCGTGTCAGACGTAACAGACTATAGGCATAATAACTTTTACAGGGGTGTTTGTTCTCTTCGAAACAGTATAAAATCCACGAAAATTCGCAGGAATGATATGCTTCATATATAAAGTATTACAACATTACTGAATATGCGTTGATGTAACTGCCAAAGCTATTTTTTGACAAAAATAAATAGTCTTCACCATGGTCAGATTTAGGAAAATGGAAAGTTATCAAAATTTAAAGGTTTTTAAAATATAAGATTATATAAAATTTCGTTTACATAAATTATGCTTACAAAAGTACTTAGATAGGACATATTAAAACCGAATTTTTGCAGCACTCAATCCACAAATAAAAATGCAACGGCTTCTAGCAATGTCTTACAAGAATGTCCCATGTCGAATTTCGACGCTTTTTACAAGTAAACTGTCATTTGCGACGTTATTTATTGAAAATTTCGATTTCTTGCATGCAAAATAGTGCTTTCCCGTAATTGTACTTTAACTCTACAAAACAGTTGCATACATTTTGATAATTTGCGTAGCCACAACGACTTCGTTTTTAAACAAATCCAAATGTCTAGCAAGTTTGTCCACTGGACGATTTTCTTACGTTTTCAACGTTGTCGATTCTGGATGCTTTTTATGTCTATCAAAATCAAATTGTTTGTTTGTTTTGTGTTTTGGTATTAGATGCAACTTTTAGCACCCGTGGTTGTATCATATCGGACATTCTTCCATAGTATCATGCAACAAGACCACAAAGTATAAAAAAAATCCGATGAGTGGGGTTGTTCGTTTAGATGAGGTTCTAAAGTTGTGAAAAGGCTATATTACGATAGGACAAAAATCATCAATATATTTTCAAATTTGGGAAGCGTAAAACTGCGATTTGTTATTTCTCTGCAATAAGATTCTTATGTATAGAACTTGAAAGTGAAAATGAAATTGTTGTGCCTGAAGAGTGGCTATATTTTCCTCTATATCATACAAAGCTTGTAAACATATATGGGATGAATATTACTATTTTTGTCTGACAATCGTTGCATTTCTTAATTTAATTGTTCCGTTATTAAAAAAAAGTAAAGTGTACTTTATAAGTAAGACCCGTTTAACTTGTAATTTCTCACACACGTTTTTTTTAATAAAGCAAAATGGATATCTTCTTCCTTTTCGGATTCAAATGGGGAAATATTGCATTTAAGTACTTTCTATGTCATTTCATTTGGTTTCTGGTAGAGAGTTGTCTCATGGGTACTCATATCATATCTTCTTACTTTATATAGACTATTATCTTACCCAAATACATAAATTGTGTCGTAACTTCCAGTGGGAAATATTTCATGCATATTCAGTGCAACCAAACATTTAGAAGTATCCGTATTGATGTACAAAAAAAAAAAAAAAAAAAAATTGCCAACGAAATAAAAAAAAATCCTCAATAATCGGCGTAAAACGTCAAATTTTGACGTTACCAATTGAGAAGCAATATCGTGCGTAACGTCATTATACCATCAAAGAAATAACTTAACTGCTGTTGCCAACGATTTCATGTGATTGTAGTGGTTACTATACTGTATTCCCTTTTTGTTACAGGTACGAACAAGAATTATTTAGCGTTCAAATATTTCCTTCGTTTACCCCTATCAAAAAGAAATCTCTGATAACTTCAACTTACTGTATATAAAATATCTCCTTCACTTATGTATACAATGTTAAGTTAAAGTCTAATTTCTTTTGAAGGTTGAGTTTAATTTTCACATGTAATTGCAGAGCCAATTTAAATTATATACACAACAATAAGTACGTTTGGATATTAAGTTCGTATTGTTCCAGTTGTTGGAGGGATGTTTGCTTTGTCTTAAGGATGTGTTTGTGTGGAATCTGTATATTCATTTACAGGTGTTGTTAGTTTGCATTTTTTACATTCGAATATGTTTGTTTTAATCCCCAGTCAGTAAATGGTTTGATTTGATTTTGCTTATGGGTACACGACCTCAAAAACCAATAGTGTGCTGTATGATTGAACCTATGTCGATAATTACAAAAACATGAGATTGGAGAAGAACTATAAAACTTATTGGCGATGGTAGTACCAAACTTCAAAAAAAAAAATTAAAAGTAACACTTACAAGTTTAGTGGACCGCTAACTGATAAATGCAATGGAAAACTAAGCAGCCACAATAAAATAATAAGTATTAATTATGACTACCATATTGAAACGATTACAACAGTCAATAGACATTACAAAGACTGAGGTAAAAAAGACATTCATACAAAAGCTCGAGAGGGAGAGATCAATTTTGATACAAACAATGTACAAACGGATTTCAATGAAAATGTTAATAAAGAAAAGTTTGTCGGTTAGAAAAATACTAGTAACAAGAAGTTGTACGGTCCTGATTCTGAAGGTAAGGGAAGAAATAACCATGTGAAAATTACAACCATTAAAACGCAAGAACAATGGAAATCAACGGAAACACGTTTTAAAAAGTCTGTGAGAGAAAATTGGATAGCTGTTATTAGCAGAAAATAAACAGAAATTGCAACATCTAACAGGCAAGAGAAAACGCCAACAACCAATAGGAATGATCATATTACCAATACCAATAACAATACCAACGTAAATGTGCAGCCAATATTGATCAACAATTATGAACAACGTCTGCACGAAAGAGTTGGCCTAATTTCCAACAGACACATTGATCAATTGACCCCAGTGGAAAATAATCCTACTGAGGAGGGGAATACCAAATTTAAAACGTTTAATACCAGAATAAATTAAACAGCTTGAAAACTATGCGCAATGGAGATATTGGTAGCAATAATTTAAATTGCTGTTTTAAGTCTTACAAAAAACCAAAACGGAATATAAACTGAACTTCTATATCATTTTGTCTCTATTGGAGAGTTGTCTCTTTGCATAGCAATCATACCACATCTTCTAATTTTTATATTAATTTGTGTATTTTCGATGCACCTCGATTGCCTTTGGTATAGAGTCAACATTTAATGAAAAAAAAAATACAAGTAGCGTTGGGATCAAAATAAAGTCTTTATTATGAACATGAATATATAAAGAAAACGATAATGTGACATTTCATGCTGAAAATATATATATAATTATTGTTATCTGAAAGTTTGCTCTGCTTTCGAATTTCCTAAAAACATTCATTTGAAATCCCTTAATCTAAAATAAGTTATATCGAGATGCCATTGATCTGACTGTCTAACATAAATCACAAATATTATTGTCACTTCAAAATCTAAAATCAAAAGTAACACTTTGGCTTATAAGTTATATAAACACAGTTTTCACATCTTAGCTGTTCATAAATTTGCTTCCGTCCGTTGCCTACGTAGTTTAGGCAAAATTATAAATTAGTGTACGCTTACAGGTTATAAGACTTGTGTTATAAGTGCATAATATTGCTTTAAACTTTTAAACAAAAGTGGAAAGAAAGTCGGTGTATACATGCGTGTTGATTTGTCATTTCTGGTATATTAGAATTGTTTGTATATATAGGGTTAACGATAAATTTATTCATCTTCAATATGTCTACATGTGTTACTATGTCCGCAGGAAAAGAAAAAGGAAAGTGTATACATAAATAGTAAACTGATATTGAAAAGAAAAAATGTATATCAAAATGTTCCAATTCAAAAAGTTTTAGTGCAACAATAAATAAATGCCGGAGTTAAAACTAAAACTGAAATAAAAATAAAAAAAAACAACCTGAACCTCGATTTATGACAGTTTATTTTTCAATTACAGTAGAAACTGTTTTGGCGTCAGGTGTTCCCGATCAACGTCATTTCAGAAACACGAGTTGCTGTTAATGAAGTTTTGTTCAATCAGCTGTTTAATCCGACAAAATGAATATTTTAAAAAGGCATTTTGATGTATTATTCCTGTTAAGTTCAAGAGAGATAAAACAAACTGAAGGAAATTTGGACATAATAGTCATAATGAAGAGAAACTGAAAGACAATTCTATTGATCTATGTATGTTTAATTGAATTTTCCACTTGCAATCAATATTCCTGAAAATACGTTATAAGGCTCTCCTGTGTATATTTTACGCCCGGGAGTTCCACTGGCCCACATCTGGTCTCCCCTTTTGAGTGGAAGATTTAGAGTATGAGATGCTACTTCGCCTCTACCTCCCCCATGTGTCCAAAGTCTTGCAAGTTCCTGGCCATTCTTACGGATGTTAACATGTATTGAGTTTCCATGAAGACCCATGATAGAGACGGATATACTGTAAAGTCCAGATACAGGTGCTGTGAATTTTCCTGTGCTTTGGTTATAAGAATTGCCGACATTGGCAATTACTTTGTCAAACGGAATTGGGCCATTTGGAAGTCCACTTGAAAATGTAGATAATGCTGTAAATGCAGTAGGATGTTCTGGGGTATTTCCTATAACATGAAAAATGCAATCAATATACAAACTAGATGATACAGTCTATTGATTCTTTGTTAATGTCTGTATAATGATACAATTAGTTTAACTATCAACTACAAAATGTTATTGGCGTCTATGTTAGATTTAATTGTATGTTTGTTTGAATTTTTTAGTTTAGATATGTTGTACAACTATGCTGGAATGTTTGCATAATTTTGGCTGCTGGATCCTAATTATTAACCAATAATGTCTGTTTTGGTTGCTAACACAATTTTGTCAATAGAACGGAACTATATACGACTGTCATACAAGTGGGGTTTTTAACTATCTATAAAACCGGATTGTACCCACCATTTTCTTCGGATTATGCCTTTACAAGACCAGTCTTTCATTTGGATTGGTTTATAACCATTTTATTTGCTCAAAGAGACGAGTAGGATCGGACACAAGTTTTACAAACTTATAAAGTCTTCTCCTTCACATAATATAACAATTGCAATAATTATACAGAGCATGACCTATTGGTGGCCTTCGGCTGTTTTTTGCTCTTTGGTCGGGTTGTTGTCTCTTTGACACATTACCCATTTTCATTCTCATTTTATTTTTACAGTTGAGTAGATATACCTTAGGGTATCAGTAAATTATGACAATTACACAGTGTGAAGAAAAAAACCGTACACAATTAGGAAAAAAATAAAAAAAATTAACAGAATAAAATGAATAAGGATCAACTTATTTTGGGGACACGGTGATTTTGTTTCGTTTACTGACATCGATCGTTTGATTTTGCATGGACTTCTCCTTTTTTAATTTATTTTGGAGAATGGCAGTTTTGTTATTACATTTTTCCTTACAAGCAAGAGATAAACATGTAATCTCAATGATGTAAACAAATATTTCAATTAATTTATTACTAAATTTATATATGATATGAATAACCAACCTTTGCATCCATAAGATTTATTTCTGAGTTTATCTAATTTCCCAGCAAGGTCTTCAATTTCATTCATTGCATCGTCGATAAAAAGTATAAAATTTTTATTAAAATTTGCAAATAAATACTTTCACTGAACTAGTAGTACACATTTTTGTTTAGGGGTCAGCTGAAGTCCTCCTCCGGGTGCGGGATTTTCTCGCTGTGTTGAAGACCCATTGGTGACCTTCGGCTGTTTTCTGCTCTTTGTTCGGGTTGTTGTCTCTTTGACAAATTCCCCATTTCCATTCTCAATTTTATTTCCAATTTAATCCAATTATATGCCACTTTTTTTATAGGAATAACAAAAGATATATACGTTTATTTCATTTTTTTTTTGCTACTTTCGTAGACTTATAAATTATATGTTTTAAATCTGATCGATAACGATTGGGTGTATGTATTAAGCCAAGGGATAGCACTCGTCAGTCTACTACTGTCGTATATTACATGAGATAGGGACAAAGACTTGAAGTTAACTTAGCATATTAAACTTATCGTCATGGCAACTATAAATCATCCAGACTAGACGATGGTTTATCCTAAAGAAAATTACATGTGCTGATAAGAAAAATAAAGTTTAAATGAAAAAAATAATAATATTATAAACAAGTAACCATAATTTCGAAATTTTAATTTAAGTCGTAAATGGTTAAAAAAAATATTTTAGAATCAAAGCTCACCAAGTGTCCGATAACAGCAATGTTTTGCATCCTGTTGCATATTTTCTCTTTTTACCAAGTCACATTTCACTTTGTAAAAATATATAAGTCCTACACAGAGACACAACAGGACTGTTCTGTACATTTCAGAGTTCGATGGTTTGAAGACGACAGCTGGATTGCAACTTTATGATGTCCCAATTATATATTTCGTGAAAAAATCGATACATACAACATGTTACCAGTTAGGATTTCAAAATAATGCGTTAAATGATACGATGGTATTATATTTCTATTTCTATTTGTTATTTTGTTATTTTGTTATTTTGCCTTCCTCCGCTCCGAGTGAAGGCAATTTATACTGCTTTACCGACGCCCATCTGTTAGTCCTTTCCATACAATTTGTGCATTTTATTGGGAACTACAAATACGGCCTCCAACAGTAAGCAAAATCAATACCGCATAGAAAGTCATAAAAGGCCCCGATATATGACAAATGTAAATAGAAATGAAGGTATAGATCTCAACATTATAAACATTTTTGTCCAGTTTTTAGACTTTCTATTTTAAAAGGATTTCAAGATAATAGACAAATCTTGCATATCACACCTGTTGTTATAATTTTTTTTTTAGAAAAAAAAACATTTTGGTTGGCAGGCGGGGTCATCTTACATATGGCCAAGTTCGATTATATTTGGCGCTGTAGTTTCAGAGTAGAAGATGTGTACACGGACGCCGACGACGGACGACGGACGTCAAGTTCACTTGGCCCCTTGGCTCAGATGAGCTTAAAATCTTCAACAACTACCAGCAATAAACTTCATGGCATGCGTTTCGTGTGAGAATGCGAGAAAGGTTCTCGTTCTTTTCGGAATTTCCCCTTAAAACATGTTAAAGATGAATACGATTTCCCGCCAATTTGCATCTGATGATCATAGTTACCATGTCTCGCCAAATTGCATCTAAGGAGCATAACTGTTTATTTTTGATTACCAAAAATATAATTAATAAGTAGGACGGTTGGCGGATATATATATTTTGCAATCCATATTGTAATTTTAATTTGTTTTTCGTATTTCCTGTTGTAATTTTAATTTGTTTTTCGTATTTCCTGTCTATCCGTATCAAATTATTACAATTGGTACCAAGCTTTGTATGTTTTCTAGCAATGTGCAGTTAACTTTCCATTTCCAAGTTTATACTGAAAAAAATCTAAAGGACCTAGATATGTCGCCATTTTAAATAGCCTACCCTTGAGGCTTCTTTACCCCTTAAAAGGCACTCATTTTCTTCATAAATGAAACACGCAAAATACACTTGTTAATAACCATAAGCCTCTGCAGAGATATGTCTATGGCCTCTCTGGATGTCATCAGTTAGTATCTTTGTTTTGTCGTATGAAACGACTATTTCCAGGAGATGATACAAGTGTGTTGCGAAAATACACGGGGAGGGGGGGGGGGGGGGGGGGTCTCAACATGGGTTTTGCCACATGTGGAGCAGTATCTGCTTACCCTTCCGGAGCACCTGAGATCACCCCAGTTTTTGGTGGGGTTCGTGTTGCTTAGTCTTTAGTTTTCTATGTTGTGTCATCTGTACTATTATTTGTCTGTTTGTCTTTTTATTTTTGGCCATGGCGTTGTCAGTTTGTTTTCGATCTATGAGTTTGACTGTCCCTCTGGTATCTTTCGTCCCTCTCTTTTTGGGGTATAGATGTGCAGCTGGGATTTCAAAAACACCCCCAATTCATATATTGTAGTCTTGTGAAATCCTGACCCATAAACATATGTCATGGCAAAATCATAACCCATTCATATATTCCTCAGTTATCACATATTAAATTATTTACATCTTGACTTGATTTTAAACGATAAAAAAAGCATTTATACGAAAATCTAATCGAAAGATGACAATTATTGACCCATTGACATATTACCTTGTTGAAATCGCAACCCATTGATATATTTGATGTGTCTAAAATGGGACCCATTCCAGCGGCACATCTGTATATACCTTCATATAGGAAAAGATCCCCCCGTGCGAAAATATCACCCAAAAGTCATTATATTGTGAAACAGCGAATTGGTTTTACCGAAAGGTTAATTATTTCAGGGATGGGTCACAGAGACTCGGTTAGCGGATTAATGTTTTGTTTATCAATATGTTTCAATTTTGTTTTTCGTATTTCCTGTCTATTTGTGGGTATTTGTATTACATTATTTAAGAAATAATTCTATCATGCCATGCTAGCCACAAACCCAGGTTCAACCAACCATTTTTTTCTTAAAATGTCCTGTACCAAGTCAGGAAAATGGCCATTGTTATATTATAGTTCGTTTCTGTGTGTGTTACATTTTAATGTTGTGTAGTTCTCCTCTTATATTTGATGTGTTTCCCTCAGTTTTAGTTTGTAACCCGGATTTGTTTTTTTCTCAATCGATTTATGAATTTCGAACAGCGGTATACTACTGTTGCCTTTATTTATGCTCATTTTAACATTGGTAGGCATTATATTTGCCAATATCTTTATACCGAGCGTTAGCGAGGTGTGAAATATTGACAAATATAATGCCTACCCATGTTAAAATTAGCATAAAGCATGGCATGATAGAATTATTTCGATTCTGATAAAATATTTAGAACTTTTGTACTTCGAAGTGGACCTATAATAGGGTAAGACGGGGTATGTTCGGACAGCTGGTAATCTTCGGACAGTTTGTTTTCCATTATCTTACAACGTTAATAATCATCCAATAAAAGATGTCAAATGTTTTTCTTATGGCTAATTATAAGAGGCGTATTTCCCCCAAAACGATTGTTTATAAAACGATTGTTAAATTATTTATGATTGATCGAAATAGTACACGTGATCCGTCATGTGACATAACCACCACTTTTCAAAAACTTAGTACACAAAACTTCCTATAGAGACCTTCAGATTTTTCCAATATACTAACAGAACCTGAGAAGCCATTATTGTAAACAGTATCCTTTTCTAATGTTAACTAGTTATTCATCATTTTCCAGCTTTAAAATAATATTAAATTTTATTCAATAAGTAAAAAAATCGACTTTTTGCGTGTCCGAATATACCCTGGTTTGGATACATAAAGGGTTGGGTATATTCGGTCACTTTATTTTTCGTTATTAAAACACAAAGTTTGTACACTAGAAAAGTGTGAAAATAAAAATAATGTATTCTTGGTTTTCCAATGTATCACCGATGTTTTTTTTCTGTTCTTGGGAATACTTTTCCGAACAAAAAAACATAATATCTGAATGACGATTTGTCTATTTATTGAACAGGAAAGGCAAAACATGATCACTTGCTGTTACATCACTCTAATGAATAAAATGTCATAATCTAATTTCCTGCAGTAATAAAAAAAAACTATATCTTATAAGCCGTATTTATATAAATATAGTTTACAAAACACCATTTACTACGGTATTTAGGAGAAACCTAATAACAAAATACTTGGTGGTACCGTGGACACATTCTCCAATATTTTGCTAATATTTTGCTTAACACATGTATTTAGATGTTTAAAAATTTTGTGGGTAAACTCTATAAGAGAGAGATAGGAATGTCAAATTTTACGCAGTTAGGCATTCTCGAAGTTGAAATTAATGAACTTTTTCAGAGGGAATGGTACTTTGAACACGATCTCCTTAATGATCTGCGATTGTTAATTATCCAGCTTATTACCAAATACATATGCATTCCACCAGTTGTATTGCAATATCTAGATGAGAAAAGTGAAGAAACATGTATCAAAAGTTTGGTGTTTCTTTCAAAAGAATCAGCAGTTTAGTGTCCGACTCAGACAGAGAAAACATTATTAAACTGAATGACCAAATAGTCCAGTAAAACGAGTTAGAACTTACAATTTATTTGAATACTTTCACAATCAACCATTCATATATATAGACGGCTCATATAGCGAGTTATATATAAGATGTTTTTTTTGTAAAATAAATAAAAACGTACTATATGTACCGGAAACTGTGTACTTTTCTCTTTTGTTTTTTTTTAAAAACAGCTGTTCTAAATTCATCTACTTCTCTATAAGGAAACTATTGATTGATTGAATGGTTGTTAATGTCCGGTAGCAAATATTACATGCACACCTGGATGAGAAAACTTTTAAGTCATGTGAAAATGAACTATTTTCGTTGTTTAAAATACCTACATACATATTGTAAGTTTTTGAACTTCTATAGTTCACAAGGTTACCGTCATCATTCCTGGATCGATACAAGTTAACAAAGAGTCTTCGTTCTAGTAATATGTGTGCTTTAGGACGAAGCAGAACATAATAATTTTTAAATTTTTTGTAAACACGAAAGGAATTATTGTTTTTTGCACTCAAGGCGAGTCTATGTTCTGGTGGTGGTAACGATAACTATACGTAGCTTGCATTTTCTAAACAATGCTCGTAATATAAGAAAGTTCCACTAAGTTTACACCAGTTGTATGTTTTTATCGTACACATACATGTGTTACAGGATTTAAAATTTTGCTGCATAAATTTGTTTTCTTTTTGCTCTTATTAGTTAAGTAGTTTTACACAGGAAGAGAACATGTTAATTGAAATCTGTTTTGTAGAGGACCGACATGTTGAGTCATTTTTCAACGCGTTAGTTCTTACGATAGATATGTCACACTGTATAGACACATTATTCTGTGTTCAGGTCGACTAGTCTTTGCTTTTATAACTCAAAGTTGCGTGCTTAGCGGAAAAACCTCAAATACCAATTTAAAACCTGAAATTTTGTTTGATCAGACCAAGGTTCGAAACCACGAAATACTGTACTCCATGAGAGCATTTTAGTCCAGAATAATTAACTTTATGGACGATACTTATAAATATGTAACAATATGTAGATACAGGTCTCATTTACAACATAATAAAAAAAGGGGGTAACTATAAACAAAACAGACGGCATACACCAAAGAGTCAATACAAAATCACAAATGAACAGTCTGACTAGACCAATCACCAACTATTAACTTTAAGTTGTTCACGAGCAAGTGTCTATATATGGCTAGGTTTAGACACGCTGTAAATCAAAGAGAAAATAAATGTGGATAGTGTCCACATGTGGACACAGATAATGCCCCCGCTTGCATATCATATAGTTATAAAGGGACATAACTGAAGAACGGTAAAAGTGACGCTACCA